AGAGATAAAGGGACATCATATCTGCAACTACATTTTAAATGTTTCAGGAAAAAAATGTCTCTTGCACGCATAGTAGGAGGAGCAAAATAAAGGAAGTGTGATAAAATAGGATATTTGGGGACTGTGGATGAATGAAACACAGGAATTCTGTGTAATATTTTTGTAACCTTTTAAAAAGTCTGAAGCAATGTCAAAAAACATTTTAATAGAAACTATGCCATCGACATAAAATAGGTTAAGAAATGACTAGGCTGTGAGGGCTTGCTACATAATGGTGAGAATCTATGTTAGGAGCTTTCTGGAGGGAAATTTGGAAGAACATGTTAGAGTTTGAAATGTATACATCTTTCTATTCAAAAGCTCTGTTTTTGGCATCTGCCACATGGAAATAGATATACATGTGCACAAAGATATTCACTGTAGTACTATTTTGTATTAGAAAAGAAAAACTAAAAATTTGTGCTTATAAAGAAGTCAACTCAGGCACATTCATGCTATAGAATATTAGGAGGCAGAAGATAAATTTATGAACATCTAATATGTCCTCTCACAGAAATACATAAAGACATATTAAATGAAAAATAAATTGCAAAATTACACAGATGGTAAAATCCACTTTATGTTAAATCCCATTATGTTAAATTAATTTTTTTTTTTTTTTTTTTTTTGTACATAGCCAGCTGGCTATGGAGTTCAACATACAAGGTGACATCAAGACAACTGAAGTTCCATTTTGGGTACCTCTAGCTTCCTCCCCTTATCCTGACACAGTGACTGCCATAGCCAGAAGGGGCTTGGGTGCTTGGTCCCAGGGAAAGCTGCAGGGGTTGGCCCAGCAGATAGACAAAGAGAAAGGTTTCACTTCCTCACAATCTGAATAGCATCTTCATCCCCCAACATATGGTCTTTACCCAATTTTTGAGGATTGTATTTCACAGAGAGACCCTGGATGATTGTATTTAAAATTAGGTAGAGATTGTAAATGCCTAGGGTAAGGTCTGGATAAATACAAGACAGGGTGAGCTGTGGGCAAAAGAGAGGAGTTTGAAGACAGGTTATTTCATCAACTTTAAGTGCTTACTCTAAATACATGTTTGTTTTATAATACATCAAGATCTTCATGTATTACTTGTGCAATTAAAAAATAAAAATCACAAAGTTAGTTCAAAAACAGAGTTATAGCGGAGTGAGATTGTAGACTGCTGTAATAGAACGGGAAACTGAATTAGGGTAGTGTCAGCAGACATAGAAGGTGGTAGGTATAAGAGGGACAATCTATATTAGTGTGTGGTACTTGAAAGGGTATACGGTGTGAGAAAGGAAGCTTTAATGTGTGTGACTGGAATAGTGATGGCTTTGACAGAAATAGAAAATAAGAGAACCTCCTGACTTGTGAGAAGGTAATTTTTATTTTGGAGACATTGAATTTGACATACTGATATCCAGGTAGATCCTAGAAAGATATGTTTCACTTCCTCACAATCTGAATGGCATCTTCATCCCCCAACATATAGTCTTTACCCAATTTTTGAGGCTATGTGACACCTTGTGGCTATGTGACTAAATCCATGAGATAACAATTATAAAGCAACAGTTAATGGACACTGATTGTATTTCTTTGTTATGACCGTCATCTAGTGTAACATTTGTAGTTATATATACACACTTAACCCTGGGATAGCTATTTATATCTATTTAAGTATTAAAATCAGTCTTAAAATAATATTACATTACAAAAAAAAATCCACTCACATTATTTTCAACAAATAAATTCTTATATAATGAGGCCTATTTTCCATATGGTACATTTCCCATTTAAAACTCTACCTAAATTAAACTCACTAATATGAATAAAATTTGCAAGTATAAAGAAGATTATAAGCAAATATAATTGTTATAAAGAAAAATTTTAAATTGTTTAAATCTTATTCAAGACATTTTTTTCCTATCACAGTTCCATTAAAATGTTATTGCCTAGGTCCTCACAGGTTATTGAAGTCTATCAAGAGGGTTATTGTAGCATTTAAAAACTATTCAAATGGCTAAGTTTCTGTAACTATGGGGTTCTGAAGAATTACAGAGAATTAGATTATATCCAGTTTTTTAAAAATTTAGTAATCACTGGAAACCTTTTTAAAAATTTTTATTGAATTTATTGGGTGACATTGGTTAATAAAATTATATAGGTTTCAGGTGTGCAATTCTATGATGCATCATCTGTGTATTGCATTGTGTGTTCACCACCCCAAGTCCAGTCTCCTTCCATCACCATCTATCCCCACTTTATCTTCTACATTCCCCTTTTGCCCTGGTAATCACTCTACTATTGTCTGTGTCTGAGTTTTTTTTCTTTACTTAATCCCTTCATATTTTTCACTAAATTCTCAACCCCCATGACAGCTTTCAGTCTGTTCTCTGTATCTATGAGTCTGTTTCTATTTTGTTTGGTTGTTTATTTTGTTCATTAAATTCCACATGTAAGTGAAATCATATGGCACTTGTCTTTCTCTGACTGGATTATTTCACTTAGCATAATACTCTCCAGGTTCATCCATGCTGTCAAAAAGGTAAGATTTCCCCCTTCATCATGACTGAGTAATATTCCATTGTGTAAATATATCACAGCTTTTTTACCCACTCATCTACTGATGGGCACTTGGGCTGCTTCCAAATCTTGGTTTTTGCAAGACTATCATTTAAAATGGAACGAAATTAAGAGCTTCCCAGACAAGAAAAAGCTAAAGGAGTTTCTTACTACCAAACCAGAAATGTTAAAGAATCTTCTTTAAGAAGAAGGGGGGGAAAAAACAAGGAACATAGTTAAAAGAATAAAATGGCAATATATACATTCTTATCAATAATCACTTTAAATGTAAATGGCTCAAATGCTTCAATCAAAAGACTTAGGATAGCTGAATGCATAAGAAAACAATACGCACATATACACTGTCTACAAGAGACCCACCTCAGAATGAAGGATACACACAGACTAAAAGTAAAAGGATGGAAAAAGATATTTCATGCAAAAAGAAATGGGGAAAAAAAGCTGGAGTAGCAATACTTATATCTGACAAAATAGACTTTAAAACAAAGATTATTGTAAGAGACAAGAACACTACATAATGATAAAGGGAGCAATCCAACAAGAGGATGTAACTCTTATAGACATTTAAGTACCCAACATAAGAACACCTAAATATGTAATGCAAACCTTGATGGACATAAAGGGAAAGACCTACAGTAATACTGTCATTGTAGGGGATTTTAACATCCATTCATGTCAATGGACAGATCTTCAGACAGAAAAACAACAAGGAAACAGCAGCCTTAAATGACACACTAGATCAGATGGATTTAATTGATATTTTCAGAGCATTTCACCCCAAAGCACCAGAATATACATTCTTTTCAAGTGCACATGGAACATTTTCTAGGATAGACCACATGTAAAGCCACAAAACAAGTTTCAATAAATTTAATACGAGTGAAATCATATCAAACATCTTCTCTGACCACAGTTATATCAAACTAGGAATCAATTGCAGGAAACAAATTGAAAAACTCATAAAGACATGGAGGCTAAATAACATGTTGCTAAACAATGAGTGGGTTAACAATGAGATCAAGGAAGAAATCAAAAGATACCTTGAAACAAATGAAAATGAGAACACAACAACCCAAAATCTGTGGGACACAGCATAAAGCAGTCCTAAGAAGGAAATTCATAGCATTACAGGCCTACCTCAAGAAACAAGAAAAATCTGAAATAAACAATCTAACTTTACACTTAAAGGAACTAGAGAAAAGAATAACAAAGCCCAAAGTGAGTAGAATAAAAGAAAGAAAGAATAAAGATCAGAGAAGAAATAAATGAAATAGAGTCTTAGGAAAAAAAACAACAATACAAAAGATCAATGAAACCAAGTGCTAGTTTTTTTAAAAGATAAATACGATTAACAAATCTTTAATGAGACTCATCAAGAAAAAAAGAGAGGACCCAAATAAAATCAGAAATAAAAGAGAAGTAACAATTGACACCAAAGAAATAAAAAAGTTTGTAAGAAAAACAGTACAAACAAATATATGCCATCTTTTAAAAATTAAAATCTTCAATAAAATAGCATTAAATTACATATCACAATTTGCATAAACAATCTTTAAACATATTTTATTATAGAATTGACCATACAAACTCTCAGCTGCAACAAAACTCTCTAAACAATGTAAATATATTTATTTGGTCTTATGTTTATGTTATGTGAATTACTGATAGTTTTAATTTCAGCTGTGGATAAATAAAAAGGTACATTGGCTGTGATATTACTAAGAAATGGGAGTCTTAGAGACTAAAAAGTTCCTATTTTCAGGTTGGAACAAGATACAATGAGTAAATCTAAGTAGTCTAGACTTTTAGCAAGAAAGGAAATACAAAGAGAATTTAGGCCTAACATAAACAAAATATTTACTTAATCTTTAAATGTTTTGTAACAAATTTTAAAACATATTTAAATAAATGCAGGGAAAAGAAATAAATGAATTCAGAAAAAAAATTAATTTTACTTAAAAATATGTAAGCATTTTAATAAAATAAAGAAGTTAAAATCCTTAAATGATTCTGCTCCCCCCACTGCCCTCGCCCCAACTCAAGTTACTTCTAGTAATAAGGTATTTTCCTCTTGGTTTCTTAAATATGTGAGATCACATATCCTTTACTATATTCCAATTTAAAATATATATCACTCTTTGTAAGGCACAATAATTGTGCATACTCTGTATCAGCAAAATGAAGTCCATGAAAATATATTTAGGTTTTAATGTGGATTAAATACAATTTCTTTTATCAGAAATATTTAATCAATGTATCTATCCTTTATTTTGATTTTATCAGAAGCCAGAATTCAGCATGAATTTACATTAAGTCTAGATATCCCTTTGCTTCAAAAATGATTACTGTTTTTTTATGTGGAATTTTGACAACACAGGCACACTTTAAAATGAGCTGATTTTATAAATCGGTAAATTTATGAACTTTATTTCTCCACAGTGCCCACGTAATTATAGCTGATATATTTCTACTTACAAAGTTTAAACAATGTGTAATATAACTTTGCTTAATCTCTGATAATACCATTGAAAATTATACAAGAATAAGATGGCTTTCTCTGAAAGTTACAAGGAAGGAAATTTGAAATACTACATACATTAGAATGGTGATCATAGCAGGATTCAGCGTGCATGTCATTTTATTATCAGAATTATCTGAAGTATTTGCAGTTTACACTAAGTGAGAGAATTGTTTGAACTTTATTTTATGTAGTGAGCTTATCCCCCATTTATTCCTAGAGCAATAAGTTTGCTATACCTATATACATCATTATTAGAGCAGATGTAACAAGACCATGCTGCCATTCAAAGTTAAGGTGCCACATTTTTTTTATAATCAAATGGCATCCAAAATGCAATATATTGCTATGAAAATGCAAAAATTTTCACAGATTGGCATTTATGAATGAGGTTGGTCACAATGAAATGGGATTTTTTAAATTGAAATGGAAACAATGTATCATAAATATACAGACCAATATATAACATTGAAGAACAAGAAGCAGAAAGGGAACAACGCTCTTGCATAAAGATCAATTCTCTTTGCTGCTGTTGGAATAACGGGTTTGGCAGGGGGAGGCTTCTTGTTGTTCTTTGCCTGAGATTTCCCAAGTCCATTGTTGACTTCAATAGGCTTTCCATAGCAGTCATAGTTGGATAATTCAAAATCTCTTGGTAAGCTTCCAACAATGCTGAAGTCATTAGATCTCAGGTCAGACTTAGAAGTACAAACTTTTTTGCATCTGTTCTCACCAACCTGGAAATGAAAATTAAGCACAGAGTGTATGTAGGATTTTCTATTTATAAAACACATCTCTTCAAAAGGGTATTTTAAAAATAATGGTCAACTGATTAAACGATCAGATTGCATGAGCATTTAACTCTAAAATGTGGCCTATATAACAAGGGCTATGTCATGGAATGAACTTTGATAATTTATTTTATGTTAAGGGATCAAAGTGCAAATAAACACTTATCTTAGGTACTCCCAGGTTTGTGAGTTCTCAATTGAAAGATCAATGAATGAAAATCCAATATTTAACCACAACACAGACAATATTACTACACTATATGGATATCTTCCCGTACTTCTAACCACTGACTTTCTTATGGACACTATTTCCAAGTAGGGCGGTTTATAAATGATAAAGTTATTTATCACCCCAATGGGACAGACTGTTGTCCCTAAACCACACTCACAAATAATAACTAAAAGATGATCACAGTTATGAACCAAAGATTTGCTAGTGAAAGGCATTTTTAACTTGTTGGCTAAAGTTGAATTAGCCAACCACACTCAACGAATCTAAAGAAATTGTGAGTTCAGCCAGATTATATGTTACAGAGATTATTCTGTTTCAGACAGAAAACCACATTTAAGGTTCTAGGTGTCCAGGGCTGTTTGAGGAATGTGTGAGTCTCAGCATGTATCAGTGGATTTTTTTGTAGAGTATATAATTACCTTGATTGGAATCCACTTGAGAACAGAATTTACATACCAAATATTTGCACGATCCTCAAACTATCAGAGCAATTGTCAAAACCTGGAACATTGTGGGTATCCCACTGTTTTTCCCTTTAGAATTCTCCACTCTAAAAGCTTTAGATGCACTAACTTTGCTTTATGTCCACTCATCAAAACAAAGAACTCTAGCTGTCAACTTAGAAAGCATGACTTATCAGTTATTTTTATTTTTCACAAAAAAGGCCAAATATATTTATTATAGAAATGCATTTACTATAAGTCATATTTTGTATGTGACTTTAGGTGTGGTTTTAGTATCTGTAAATAACTAAACAAGAAGCCACATTTATATGATACTATGACTTGTCACACGTAAATACTTCAAAATTTTTATTTACATAAAAGAAAATTTTACTTGTTTTTATTTACACAAACATATTCTTTAATTTACATAAACATATCCTTAGATTCTTCTAGCAATTTTAATATTATAATTTTATTTATATAGTTTATTTAAATGTAGGCATAGAAGGTTTATTGAGAGAGATTATTTAAATATAGGAAACATATCAGTAAGAGAAGAAAAATTTCGTCAATGGTAACATTAGAACATGGAAAAGCACTCCAAAAAGCTTCAATTTGGTTATACTAAATTTTTAACTATTTATTTATTAAAACCTTTTCCAGAGATGTATTTGAAAATTATTGTATTACAAACCAGTAGAGCTGTGTGTGTGTGTTTTTGTGCATTCGTGGAGAGAATCTCTATTTACTGCAGAAGTAATTTTTAATGATGTGACACAACTAAATAAGGTATAAGATTAAGTTTCCTACTGAGAAGTCCTCAGGTTCCTTAAATAGCTCATGATTCATTAACTAATTGCCTGGTCTCATCTTGCCCCACTCATCAGAGATTTTACACAGACAACTTTCTTTTTTCGTTACTCTCTGCACATAAGTATCCTATCATATATATACATGAAAGTACAAAAGAGTTTACAATATAAATACTATTTAAAACAATTATAATATCACATGAAGAGGGATTAAATGAATTGCTTGTAAATAAAACAGTAATCCTAACTTAACACATTCTTAAAAGTGATCTTGGTTATATTAATCTCTAATGGATAATTTTCTCATATGAATATGTGTCTCACTTTCACATAAACTTGTCGCTTCTCAAACTTAGTAGTAGCAAAAATGAGGTAGTATCATAATGAAACTATATATATATATAAAAAATGCGGTTAAACACGACCTAATGCTTCAAATTTTTTTTTCTTTCTTTTTTTAAAAATTTTATTTTTGTTTAAAATATTACAGATGTCCCTTTTTCTCCCCACTGACCCATTCTAAGATTTTCCTTTTGGTCCTTTTCAGTCTGCATCTATACACAGTTAAAGGCAAATCACCTCATATGATGTTTCTTGAACAGAAGACTTAGGCATGATCTCAATGTGATAATGGTATTTCTACAGAAGATAAAAATATGCTCAGAAATGAATAAACTCCATATATTACACAAAATGTAAACCAACCCTTAACTTTAAAAACATATCCCCATAAAGAAACAACTATCCTATTCATGAGTGAACAGCAGCTTTTATATTTTAATTTATTAAATCCATAGACATGAATACTATTTTGTTTTTTATTCAAAATACATTTGTTGTAAATAGCACATGGCACATACTAGGAGTTGAGAATAGGATGATATTAACAACAGTAGGTCTTCAACTGTACTTAATGAATAAAAAAGAAATACCTGAGTGAACAAATTAGTAACCAAGATATTAAAATGGTTGAGGGAGTAAAATTTTGGGAGCAAAAACCTAGACAGTTATAAATGTATAATGCTATATTTTTGTATGTAGTCAAAATTATGAAAACTTCTTATTAAATGCTAAGTTAAATAATCATTGATCTTTCTTACACTTTTTAATCATTCCTTTCTTTAGCAAGAGAAATATTATTTAAAAATTAGCATTATTTTTTTCTACAACCCAAATTTCATTATGCTTCCATTAATAAATATTGTTATTCTGTCTAAAAGTAAATAACATGTTTTCTGATTGAAATTTCTCAACAAAAGCTTGTGTTCTGAAACACAAAATACACTAGAACAAATACATTTTGAAACCAAAACTGTAAGTACATTTTTACAGCAAAATCACTAAATTAAAAAGGCAAATGTTTTTAAATGTCTTTTTTTTATACTTTCTTTCATATGTCAGTGTGTAACAGTCTTATAAATTTATCAGGCTTACTAATTTACTGTAATTTTGATGTGTACATTAAGCTAACTTATTATTGGACACATCATTTTGCAGCCTGTCTGAGGATACAAATATTACATACTTATAATTTTAATTTTGGAAATTGCATTTGGGCATGTAAGAAATGAGTAATTTACGTTTATTTCTGGATATTAAAATTTCTGGTCAACATTTACACTCTCTAAGCATCACTCTATGACTTTTGTAGCAAAATGTCATAGCAATTTCAGTATCCACACTGGTCTGTTTCTAATAGCAACTGAGAACATAGAGAATTAAAATACAGAAGCTCTTAAAGATGTTGAACTTTTATTCATTAGGTAATTATTTCAGTGCTTGAATGCTGAATTTAAAATAATATAATTCAGTCTAATATTCTGGATCCTATTTATTCTTTACACTTATGTTCATAAGTAAACTTGATATGTTCTACAGTACTCTGAAAATATGGTTCTCATGTGTCTCCTTCCCTCAATACTCCACAGAATATATTAATATTCCAAGCTCATCTGCACACTGCTGTTCTGTGTTACTAGAGAATTTCTGCTGTTATTGAGGTCCCAGCACACACCAGAGAATGGAGCTGATTGTAGCACTACTGGAAATCAACACCCGCTCTGTAGAACATCTTTGCTTCTATCCCCAGATCTCTTCACCAGGGTCCAGTTAGAGGGTGGAAGGATTCATTGTTTGGAAACATGAGGAAGTTGTAAAAGACTGGGAGATGTAAATGGATGGGGTTATATTCTTTTCTAACTAAGGGGAGTGGTAGTGGTCAACAAACTAATAGAGTAGTATGGGGCTAGAATATAGGCAGAGCAAGCAAAATTTTCAAGGTTGCAGGATGCTATTGACCTATTAGTCTCTTGGAGAATTTGCCATGCTAAGCTCAGTGGAAATTATCTCCCAGTTTGTCTTCCCAACCAGAGGACATCAATCAGAGACACTTTGGGGAAAGTGAACAGCTATCCCTAATCCATGAAGCAGCCTGTTGCTCCAGGATTTATCAATACCTGAATCTATAAACATTGACCACTATTCTTAGACCTTAGGCCAACTACAAGACAACGTGAAGGGGTTAAACCTGTCCAATTCTTCTCCAGGTACTCGCTGCTGGGCTGGACAGATCCCAAACTATAGGCATAGCTTCCCTATGGGTAAGGCATCCAATGAGCAAGTAGCCTGCGTGTCATGTTCTATGTGAAACTCTCTAAACTGATGGGGACATGTAGGGGATTTAATCAAGAGCATGGCTTCCCTAAGCATTCACTGTAGGTAGGTAAGAACTTCCCCAACAGTCCTTCAGCCCTTCAGTAAGTCTTATCAAGTAAGAAACAGTAAGGAGGTCTGTAGTTCTGGCAAGACCTCCACATTGGATGGTGACCATCAAAGCAGAGGTAGATCATTAAACTCAGTAGAAAGTCTTCCAGAAATTTGATAAGGTGTTGCTTTTTTTTCTTAATTAGTTTGTGACCTACGTGCTTGCTATTTGTTTCCAAAAAATATGTTGTACTTAGTTCCTTTTCATCTATGAGAAAAAAATGAGTGAATACCAATTCTATTAAACCTTTACATCCACAGAACAGTATGTCTCTCCTGACACTGCACAGAGCCATGATGGGGGGAAATCTTTTCGTTTGATAATCTCATTCTTACCTGCAAAGTGCTAATGTGAACAGGAGTCCCTGTACCATTCACAGTGTTCTTTTTAACCACATTTCCACCTTTTCCATCTTGCTCAGCCTTAGCAATTCTGGCTTTTTCTGCTTCAACTCTTTTGGGGTTATTTAACATCACCTGGACAACAGCATACTCCACAAGGGAAGCAAACCCAAAGAGAAGACAAGCAATGAGCCACACATCAAGGGCCTTTACGTAGGATACTTTGGGCAGTTCAGCAGCAAGGGTGGTGCACTCAGAGGCCAAGCTGAGTACTGAAAAGATACCTACAGAAACAGAAGTGGGAATTAAAGTTGCTCTTTAGCCATGTGAAAAAATGTCCTACAATCATTATTCTTTGATTAAATCCCTCTCCAGTAACCTCCAAAGGCCCATGAACAATTCATCAGGTCTCTTTAAATCACAAAGAGTAGAAGAAATAATACTTTTTATGTAACCATTATTCAATGTGGTTGGGGATGTTTGTAAATACTCAGTATTTTAAACAAAAAAGTAGATATTTAAAACAAGGTATAAAAACACATTTTGGAGCTGATTTAAGTAATAGCTATCTAAAACTATTCGATAGTATCTCTGAGGAAGCCACAAAGCTTATTTCATTTTTTGGCATTCTTTCAGACAGTTATAGAGTTGAATGTGATTCCATGAACAAATCAGAATGAGAACAGAACACATAAAGCAATTTTCTGATAAGGGTCACCATTTTTAAAAATATAATAGAAAAGACAAAGTAGAGAACATTCTTGGTTATTTCAGAGAAAACAAATGATTCCAGTTTTAAAGGAAAGAACAAAATTCTGCTATCTGTATATTAACAGTGTACATGGAAAGCTAGATCCAAAGTACCCTTGGGAGCCTGACATTTCTTTATTATATTTTTATTAGATTTATTGAGGTGACATTGGTCAACAAAGACACAGAGGTTTCAAGGGTAGATCTCCATGACACATGATCCGCAGGCGGCATTGTGTGCCCACCACCCAAAGTCAAATAATATTCCATCACCATAGATTTGGTTGCCTTTACCCTTTACTACCCCTCCCTGCCCCTTCCTTCTGGTAACCACCACACAGTTGCCTGTGTCTATAAGTCTCAGTTTTACATCTCACAAAGGAGTGAAATCATATGGTTCTTAGCTTTTTCTGACTGATTTGTTTCACTTAGCACAATATTCTCAAGGCTTATCCATGTTGTTGCAAATGGCAGTATTTCATCTTTTCTTATGGCTGAGTAGTATTCCATTGTATATATGTACTGACATTTCAGTTTATACAGGGGTGGGCAAAAGTAGGTTTACAGTTGTTTGTATGGAAAAAGACATGCAGGTTATGATGATTACAGCAGATTTATTAACTCAAAAGAATGTCACAATGGCCAAAAACAAACAAACAAACAAAAACAAACAGCACCCTACTTTTGCCCACCCCTGTATAACTGCATGAGAGTAAGATATTTCTAATAAACAAAAAAAAATATTGACTATTTGGGAGAAAAGCATAATGTGTTTGACAAGTCTAAAAATTTGTCTAGTTTCGGGTGTTTTATTCCCAGAACATTGTACTACATGGTTAGTTTTCATCCTCTAAAACAATTCATCTATCAGTTGTCATTATCTTCAATACAAATACATGATCCTAAGAATAAGATTTCCTACATATTTGGTTAATAAGATATAGATCTGTTCTTTGTGGTTTTCATTAGATGTAAAGCACCAAATTTCTTATGCGGACAAAATTGTCATTTTCTTTGCTGCTTTCCTGGTTTCCTTCTTTTTAAAATCTGTATTTCATTTCATTCTCCCCTCCCCTCTTAAATCAGGGGGGAGATTTTCACAAGACCTTTCTGATGGAAGAAAAAACCCTAATGCTGCAACCAGTGACCGAGAAGTCAGATATGTTACATTTTTACCTATGTAAGTTCCAGGTGATATTCAGAACACACACAGAGACAGTCATGAAAAAATTTAAAACCCTTCAAATAATCAAACTGTTTACAATATCCTTATTTTGAAGTTTATTCACATTACCTATAAGAAGGGTTCTTTATTTTCCCAAGCATAGACTTTTTTAACCCCTATACTGACACAATTTTCAAGTCCTGCTAATGATGTTTCTGTGTCACAGAGCATTAAAAATAAATTGGAGAGAATAGATAACCAGCCCTTACTCTCTAGCCAATGCTGATGATATAGCACAAAATAACTGATGTTTAGGAAAGCAATACTTAGTCATTTCTTAAAATAAATAGGATTTTACATCCCCTGATAAAGAAGATGAGATAGTATAAAATATTTCTTGGAAAAATTTGCATAAAAATTATTGTTTTTAAGTTTGTCACTATTGGGTATTTTAGACTTTAGTTATCTGTGAATGTCACTTATTAATAATTATTTCATGAAAATCAAAATAGGATAGATTCACTCTTGAAAATACCCTAGGGATACAAAAAGAAAAAACTTAATTATATAGAGTGCATAAATATTGAGAAAATCTAGTCTAATGTCAAGTTTTGAAGGAAGTCAAAATAAAGGAAGAAAGAGTTTGCCATCAATTCCCAAACTCATTATTTCAAAATATTTGACTATATAGTTATATAAAGACATAGCACATTCCTGACATGAGAGGGAAGCATGGAGCACTTTACCCAGTGGCACTCTGGCAGCACTCGCATCTGGGTTGATCCAGAAGGAAAGCCAGGAAAGAACCACAATCAGCAGAGTCGGGGCATAAACGCCCATCATGTAGAACCCAACCTGCCTCCGCAGGGTGAAGATGACTTCCACGCAGGTGTAGTACCCTTTTGGAAACAAACATATTAAAAGTGTGAGGCTCTCACCCACTTACAACTGCAAAAATCAATAAGGTACCTATAAGTTATGTCACTTCTATTTGAGGCATTTTCACAAAGTCAACTCCACAAAAATAATGTGGTGTGTTTTTTTCTCTAAATATATATAATTGATATGATCTAAAGGATGACATTATGGGACCAGTTTCACCTGACCTTTCACAACTTCATTATGACATTGAGAAATGGGTACCACGTGTGACTCCACGATGTCACTATAAGCCTTTGTTCAGAGAATCTGCAAGGGACTTAAACTTTTCATTACCCGTGGGCACTCTCTGAGTAACGGTCTAAAGGAATCATACAGGAAGCAGTAAATCAAAGGAGAACAAGTCCAAAAAGAAACACTCCCGGACCACAAATGGTCAGCATAATTTTTCAGCCATGTGTACCACTTCTTGTCTAGAAAGGCTGTCAGTCTCCGATAGCTTATATGCATATTTAAGCCTTAAAAATTAAGAAAGTATTGGAAGTAAACATTAGCAAGAATAAGAAATAAGTGTTTCATTTTATATAGATAAAATATTGTAAAGTGCAAGCATCTGAGATTCCTCTCAATTCTCCCTTCCTCCGCTCCAAGCCCTCAAACGTAGTCTAATCGAGGGAAGGGACTTCATTTTCACAAGCTGAGACAAATGCAGAAATTGCTTTACAACATAATTCTAGAGCTGCCATGACATCAACTGGTCCCCCAAATTAATCAAAAATTATGAGCAGCCTCATAATAGCTTTTGCTGACTTGAGACAGAAAATAAATGACACAAATATTCTTCAAGCACTGGAATATTTCCAGATGTTTGAGTTTATTTTTTAAATGTTTTAGTCCTTTCAGTCAGCATTTTTTTTTTTTTTTAAATATATCTTTATTGATTTCAGAGCAAGGAAAGGAGAGGGAGAGATAGAAACATCAATGATGAGAGAGTCGTTGATCGGCTACCTCTTGCATGCCCCCGACTGGGGATCGAGCCTGTAACCCGGGCATGTGCCCGGACCAGGAATCGAAGCCTGATCACCTGGATCCTAGGTCAATGCTCAACCGCTGAGCCACACCCGGCCGGGCTAAATGCAGTGTTTAATGCCTAAGGCAGTTAATTTAAATGAAAATGTCATTTACCATTCAACATAAGTAAGTTAAAATATTTCCCTGCAGTGTGGCTCAGCGGCCGAGCATTGACTTAGGATCCAGGAGATCGCTGTTCGATTCCTGGTCAGGGCACATGCCCAGGTTGCAGGCTTAATCCCCAGTCGCAGGCATGCAGGAGGCAGCCGATCAGTGACTCTCTCATCATTGATGTTTCTATCTCTCTCTCTCCCTCTCCCTTCCTCTCTCTGAAATCAATAAAGATGTATTAAAAAAAAGTTAAATATCTTCAAATAAACTGTTAATGTACAGTTCAGCTTAAACTGTACGTTATTATTTATAAGTGTTGAAACAAATAAATGAACAATGAATAAATGAAATAATTCTAGGTAAAGGACAATCTTACTTTTTACTATTTTTTATTCTAAAAGTAATATTTACCTATTTTTCTTGGCTGGGAAGAATGTATATACTTCTGACACTAGAATAATCTTTATATTTATTCATTAATGGTGCCTAAAACAAAACTTGCCATCATTAGGCTCTTAATAAATGTAGAGAAAAGATTGCTATTCACATCTTCTTGTCAAATAACTTAGATTAGAAATCTTTTTTCCAAAGTGAATTGTAATCATTGCTATTTCTGAGGTTAGAAAGAAATTAGAGCTAATATGTAAGAACAACAAATAGTTGATTTGAATTGAAGCAAATTCTAATTATGCCAAATGTTTTCATGTTATATCAAAACACAATAAATGCAGAGTATTTTTTCGTTTTAAGTTTTAATTTCATTAAAACTAGGCAATGTATTTACATTGTACACAGGTTTTAAAAGATACAAAAAGCAAAACAATAAAAAACATCCCTCCCTTTTCTATTCCCAGCCACACAACCTAGCTCCCTGCCTGAACAAACAAGAACATATGTTTCTAACTAACAATCACATGCAAATTTTTCAAAATATAATCTTTCATATAAATCTAATATGCTGTGGTTAAGAAGCTCATGGTATTTTCTACAAGTGGTTCTGAAGTACCTGGCTTTGTAACAGCATCACTTAAGTTAATTTTATATTCACATAGTGTGTGCAAAAAAGAGCCCAACAGCATGTGCTTACGTATTTTTCGGCAGCCTAAGTGGTCACAGATATGACAGCAATTTACTATAGAGTTGTTCACCTTAGGCTGCATTCGGCCCACCATGTTTATATGACAGATGAAATAGCATGAGTCCTGTATCTGAAGCAAGTTTCCACCACATCCCCTTAGGAAGGTACCTCTGGGGGAGCTTCCCAAGCTTTGGACGCGTTTGGCAGTAAAACACAGGCTTGGATATTATCGCGATTTGCTCCATAAACTTTTATGAGAAACATTTCTTGATCTTTTTTTATCTTTTCCTGGTACTGTTGCATTTATGAGAGGCAGGTGGGCAGCTAATTGATATAAATGTTCACTGGCAAATTCAATTTACTTTCTATTTCCTGTGGGATTTCATTTCATTATTTTTCACTCAAATTTCCAGTTTAAGTATTTTTGTGTACTTGTTTTCCCATACATTTCTCCACCCTTGCAATTTATACAATTATAAAAAACAATTTGTAATAAACTTAAAGACAAATCATTAGTTCCAATATTTCTGTACATATTAAAAAAAATGTTGGCCATTATTTTATATATGTTGTCTTCTATATCTTTTTTCACTACTTAAGTGTTCCACATATTTTCAATGTTCTATTTTTCTAAATACATTTCTAAATATTATGCAAAGATACTTTTATGTTTTACTTATATTAATGATTCATGTGAATGCTGATAAAGCATGTTTACTGAAACACAGTGCCAGTTATTTTTATGTTAGCCATAAGCTTTTCTGTTGTCTTTTTTTCTGTAACTAATGAGATATCAGGGACTTATTTATGACAACTCAAAAATTCTACAAAACGGTTTACTTATCATAAATCTTGAGTAATTCCCCAAATACTCTTTACCACAACATAACTTCTCATTTCCTTCTCAGAACTAAAATGAACTGTATTTATTTGTTTACTTATTTACCATATTAGAGTATGAATCTAAAAAAAGACATGGATCTATCTTTTATTCGCTGTTGAGTCCCCAAATGGAGACTTTTAAATGGAGGGTTTAAAGGTGAAAAAATTAAAGTAATACCCTCATAATTTTCAATGCTACTCCACAATTTTATGCTATTATTTAAAATTAGAAATAAACTTACTAGTTTTATTTTCATCTCTTGATGAATTTTAAAACTTCAATAGAACATATTACACATTTTTCAAAATAATAGAGAGACTGTTTATTTTGAAATGTTAAGCACACAGTTTGGATGTGGGTATTTTCAAATTCCAATATACTGACTCCATAGGTTTTATACCGATGTCAGACTCACTATCCCAGTTCATCGTTTAGTGACAGTAGACTTTGGGCAGTGTCTTTGTTTCATTATCCTGATGTTTAAAACAGGGATAATAAATGTAATGAACTTAGAGGGTTATTGTGAGGATTAGGTCATAGAATTCCTGGGAAGCAGTTAAAACAATGCCTACCATAGAGCCAGAACTCAAAAGGCCATCTACTAAATATATGTCTACACAACAATCTCAAAGGACTTTTCTGGACTTTCAAGGTTTTTTTTTATTACTGTATTATTATTACTAGGTGATTTGTAAAAATCCTAAAACTGTAGTCAGTCTCCTTAATTTGAATGAGGAGTATAGAAAGGAGAAGGAATATTATGCCTAGTGCTATGGATGATTCTGATTTGCCTGGTGACATTCTGTAAGTCATTCGATCACCCTGCACCTCAGTTGTTTTATGTCAGTATCAATAAGGTCTCTTTCAATTTAAAATTCTATATATCTAAGATTTGTTCATTGAGTATTTGTATAATCAATGTTTTTTAAGAGCTCAATTTACTCTATCAAAAAACTTGGTAATTCTGTTTTATTATTAAAGTATAGTTAACATACAATATTGTATTAGTTTCAGGTGTACAACATAATGATTTGTCATTTATAGTCTTTACAAAGTGATCACCAAGATAAGCTTAGTAACCATCTGTCACAGTACAAAGTTATCACGGTTTTATTGGTTATATTCCCTATGCTGTACATTATATCCCCCTGACCTGATGATTTTATAATCAGAAATGTGCCTATCTTATGCCCTTTTACCTTTTCACCTCTCCCCTTTCCCACTCTCCCCTCTGGCAGAGTTAGAATAAATGCAAAACTAAGCAATTTGGAGATAAAGTTAGTTTAAACATGTTGTTGACCTTTAAATAAATTAGCAGGTTATATAACATTTCTATGTAAATAGATTATGTCAAATATATGTAAATATTCCCTAAGGACTATTTAATAATCTGTTATTAAATTAACAAATTATATAACATTTATATGCAAATAGATTATATACCAATTATATGCAAATAGTTCCTAAGGACTGTTAATTTATTTGAAGGTTAACAACAACAGATGCTTAAACTAACTTTATTTCTGAGTTGCCTAGTGTTGCATTTATTAAAACACTCTAAATATGCAAATGTTCACTCCACCTTTTATTTTAATTTTTATTCTAGTATCAACAAAAATGTTTTAAGTTATATTTTATCCTTGATGATGTCATCATGGCAGCACTTTAGCTCAAACATCTGACCTTTCTAAACTCTGTATATTACACTACACACTTTTATTTTTGCAAAGTCAACATAGGTGTTGCAATAAATGTAAGCTTTATATTTTTCCTGAATATCTTTGTCTTGATTTACTTCCTAAAACATAATGAGAATTGTGTGTTATTTATGAGTCAAACTGATTATTAGTATTAATGTAATGATTAAAATTCAATCACTTTTTAATTATATTGCTAAGCAAAATAACGCTATATATAATATATAAAACTACTCAGTAACATATATCAGTAGAGACTCAAAGGTTAATACTAATCATATTATAAAAGTATTAAGTAATGATTACTATATTTTTATTTCTGTGAAAGCTTAATGTAATTAATGAATGAGGTTAATTTGTTGTGATTTTTATAATTGGCTGTTCCATAACCTAGGCCAATAATATTATACAAGAATATTGACTAATGTCCAATTATTTCACACACTCACTGCTTCTTCACATCATGAAGATCAATGTTTTTTACAATTAAGAACATAGGTCATTCACTATCTAAAACTGCTCAAGTCTGGCCTGTGTGGTTCAGTGGTTGAGCATCCACCTAGGATCCAGAAGATGGAGGTTCAATTCCCGGTGAGGGCACATGTCCGGGTTTCGGGCTCAATCCCCAGTAGGGGGTGTGCAGGAGGCAGCTGATCAATGACTCACCATTGATGTTTCTCTCTCTCTCTCCCTCCCTCTCCCTTCCTCTCTCTGAAATCAAAAAGATATTTTAAAAAAAATAATAAATAAATAAAAACTGCTCAAAAGAAAATAAGTGAGTGTATATGAATTACATTGCTCATATCCATAATGTTTGGCCCTAAATTGAATCTTGCCAAAAGTAGAATTTCTTCATAACATTTAAGAAAGCCACTGCTTAGCAAAGTTCATATCCCTAAAATAAAAAATTGAAAACCTTTTCCCTCCCAGAATTACATAAAGAAAAGCAAAATTCTCTAGTAATAAAACATTTTTAAAAACTTCAGTGAATGTGATTTTATGAAATATTTAAATATATGAATGTAAACATATACTACTTATAAATACTGAACTTATTTTTAACTAGTTTTATTCTGCCCTTAGCATATATTAATTTTAAAACGAATTTTCGATATCAGACTTAGTTTTGTTTAATTTAAAGGGCATTACTTACCAGTGCCTTTATAGTATTTTGTACAGTTACCATATTCAATATCCTCCTTTTTAATATCGAATTGAGGCAAGGCAATTTTTTCTAACTGAACAGGATCCCCTGACTGCCAGATAAATCGTAAATCATCAGTTGTGTAACCAACTATAAACAAAAATTTAAAAAAATATTAGTTTGAAATGTAATTATTAATGCTTTCTTAAAATTTCAAATAATTCAAGTATTAAACATCAAAATGATAAGAAAAGAGATATATGAAACTGTTCTTAAAATGTAAAGAGGTGAAATCTATAGCCATTGATGAAAATATTAGCACAAAAGTTAAAGACAGTTGGCTTAAAGAAAGAACAAGTTAAAATAATCAGCATATTATAAATAGTTAAACTTCTGGAGTGTCATATACAGTAGTACATTATGTCAGAATTCTGAAATGTCAGAAATGTCATCAATAAAAAACGTAGCAAGTCATACTAGCTTTCTAAATTTCTATCTTTACAATCATGCAATATAGTACCTATAAATTTTTAAAGAAATATAAGCACCAAAACCTTTGTTTTTAAGAAGTAACTGCAATCTTCCCTAAAGGAGTTGCATTACCACAGGAGAGCAATAAAAGAACCCCTCAAGTGGCCATCATTACGGCATACTGAAGCACACATTCTGGGCTTAAGTACTGTGGCTACAATTCAGGGATCATACGGAGTTTTACAGCATATGGTAACCCATCATTCAACTCTAAAGTACATATATTTTTGAAGCAATACTTTAGTTCTTCTGGTAATAGAATTGAATATAAATATATTTGTAATTTTTATAAAAATAGGCAGGCATACATATGTATAACACATACAGCAACATGGACATATATACATTTACATCTGCAAAATCTCATTTAATAGTTAGAAAAAATAAATATTATCCAAATTTAATATCTAGATTCAGTAACTTAAAAAAACACACAGCAAATAATCACTAATTTTAAAGCATATAATCCAGCAAGCATATGCAAGACATTTTACAGGTCATTATTATTTACTCTCTGCAGAAATAGGCAATGATATATAAGTATTTAGGCTAAAGTTTCCTTACATTAGTGTTAATTTTTTGTTTTATTTCCTACTTTTATTTTCAAAAGGGAAGCATCATAGCAACTTAGTATGTTTTAGAGATAATCATTTCAATTAATACAACTAGTAAAAAGAAATTAGTGCATGTTTAATAATATGAAAAATATGTGATTGTAGAAACATGGGAAATCCAATTTTTGTAAAAAATAATTTTTTATACATCTATAGGAAGTGAATGCTTGGTAGGATTTAGAGAACAATTTTTAATGTTTTTCAAATTTCTGCTCTAAAAAGGTGGTTTTAACATAAAAAAATTACTAGGACTACATTTCCTCCTTTATCTTGCCCACATTACTAATTCCAATGAAGATAACAACTGGAATAAGTAAGAACTGTATACCTGCATTAATTTAACTGAAATAAAAAGCTAGTGCCAAAAGGATTTGTTTTAGTACAAATTAATGTAGTAAAAGATTAACTATAACTTCCTTAAATAAATTATTTTAATGACAATTTGTAATAAAAAACAGTAGTTTTTACCACTGTTATCTAAGATATTAGTAAATGCATTGCCTAGAAATTTTAAATATTTTTATGTCTATAGTCATTTAAGATCAGATTTACATACAGCTTTCAAGTTGCATCTTGCAACGTTGTGTATCCATGGGAAACAAGGTCAAGTCCAATGGGCATGAAAGAGTAATAGATAACCTGAAAGTAGAAACAGAGGTCGCAGAGATCATTAAATACATTTCTCTCTGATAAACTGATTTTAAAAGGAAAATAGAAATGTACGAGTATGAAAGATAAAAGAGTACCTCATGCTGACAAGGACATCTCCATCCCGAAAAATAAAGAGGAGGATATTTTCCTGGGTTACATCATGAAAATTGGCACTTTTTTCATTTGCAAAAAACAAATCAGGTTTCCACAGACACTTGTACATTGTGGGATCTACTGTCAGGGCATCCGAGCCCCGAAAATCACTGGGGAGTTTCAGCCTGGGATCATTCCATTTTTGTCTCAGGAAGATGTTAACTCGATAGTCCTAGGAAAAAAAAAAAAGTGCACAGGAGTGTGTTTATTGCCAATTTTATATTCAGTTGCTGGAATAAAAAAGCCTTCAATGATTAGCAGCAGAAATATTTTTTCTCTTCTAACATTAACCAGGATTGAAACAGCTCAGTCCCTAAGAATAAAGAGCTCCATCAGCAGTACACAAAGACCCTTGTGTCTATTCAATTACTCTCTACAGACATTTCTGCAGCACTTGCTAGCTCAAACATCAGAATATGACTTTACCAATAATTGCTTTACCTTTATACAAACACAAATTATACCAGTTGGTTGTGTGGTGTTATCATAAAACCATGAGAACTGCTGAACATTACCATTATGCTTCCCAAAAAGCATAATAAGATTTAGTTAAAATAGATAAGAAGCCAAGGGAAAATATTTCTGCTTGTCTCTTAGTAAGTAGCAAACTACAAAAATTATACACATATAACTATGTACATTATATAACACATAATATAATATATTCTTCAGAGGGAAAAAGAAAGACTATCCTTGACTACTCATAAATGTAAATGATTATAGCGAGAAAATGAGAAAATCAAATGAGATTTGAATTATGCAAAAGAGATGACAGAACATGCAAAATGTTATGTTATATTCAAATATGGTAGAAAAATGTTTTGAAATCACTGAGTAATAACAAATTAGACTTCAGTTTTTGGCCTATCTCCAAAAGTTTTAATTTTGAAACTTTGTAAAAATTGAATTATATCAAGAGACATAGATTTTAAGAATATGTGAATTTAGGAACATATTTAACACTTTAATACATTATATATTTGTCAGTGAAATGGAGTTTGACAAATTGGATTGTTCGTATATACAGTGAAACTGAGCATTGAGGCATCAAGCTCAAGTCTTTTGATTTTAATTTTCTATACTGAACTCAGAATGTGCACAAAAATGTTCTACATATAAATTGTATTGGGCTTCCTTACTTTCAATCATTCAAAATTCATAAGATGCTATTCTACCTATTCATAGCCTTTTGACATAATCAGTATGAATTAAATCATAAACTTCAAATCAAAATTCAAATACTTAAACTGGAAGAGATGATAGTTCATCTTATAAATAAGACTTAATATATTTCCATGTATGGAAAGGTACGTAACATATATATACACACTTTATATGTGTATCAAATATAAAATGAAGCAGAAGCAATAAGCAGTGACTCTAGAAAAACTTGAGCAATTTACTTTCTCTCTCACATGATCTTCAGACAACATATAGTAATTAGAGAGGGTAAGGCACATAATAACAGTAAACATTTACCAAATTACAGACAGTGAAAGAAGATTTAATTTACCTACATCTCATAGTCTCTCTAAACTTGATGTTTATACAAACTTCTACATATAATATGAACTGATTCTTAAAAATAATATGCAGATGGTTTTGGAGTGACAAAGTCAAACACATTAAGGATTATATAAGCTGACACTGAACATACCTGCACCACTGGGGAAAAAAAGATAACATTTTCCCAATGACATGAACATGGAATTAAAGAGGGAGTAAAAGAAGCCTAAATCCCTAGAAAATGGAGACTTGCCATGCACAGCTACATGAACTTTTTTCAAAATATACACATATCTTGAAATTCATAATTTCAAGTGAACTTAAGTGATTACTTTATATCTGATTTTGATTGTGACAACTACAAAAATTAACGCCAATATGTCCAAGATAAAGGCCTATCTACCTCACATGGTGAGGTTTCCAGTAGACAGGATGGGCTTCCTGACAAAAGTTTCTGACCATTTCATGTAAACGTGCATGGCCCTTCACTTGTGACGACTCACTAGGTTCAATCATTTTCTAATAAAATACTAATTATGTTACCTTAGCTAACATACATAGTTGGTAACCACTTGACATTACTTTGAGCACTCAACAGTAGTCCATTTCAAATTATTGGCTAAAAAACTTCTTGTAATGATCTGTCAAAATTATTGATATTCTAAACGTATATTTACACTAAAAACTATTTTATCACCTTCTCTAAGTACTGTGTCTTATTAAGGAAAATCATCACAATTATGTCTTTAAACTGTGATATTTAAAATATGCATTCACAATATTATGATAAAATACTGTCTTTAACTTTTTATCACGGGTCAGTATAAAAAATAACTAGATGAACCCAGCTGGTGTGGCTCAGCAGTTGAGCATCCACCTATGATCCAGGAGATCATAGTACAATTCCTGGTCAGGGCACATGCTTGGGTTGCGGCTCCATCCCCAGTAGGGGGCATGCAGGAGGCAGCCGATCAATGACTGATCATTGATGTTTCTATTTCTCTCTCCCTTCCTCTCTCAGAAATCAATAAAAGATATATTTTTTAAAAATGAAAAAATAACTAGAGGAGGTTGCTCATTTACCTTTTATAAGTTTGTTATTATAGCCATGGCCCCTTATTTTGGTCAATGACCATTATATGAAAACACTCCAGATGAATTTCTCTTTATTTAATTTCTCATTTGTTTATAGGTATACTACCATAATATCATTCTAGAGGTATTTACCATTGTTAGTCATATTCGGCCTAAGTGCTTTACAAAAATGCAACTATTCCTCAGTTTATACTATGAAAAGGCTCTCCTGATGTTCCTATATGCTTCCTACTTCTGGAGAGCAAGACTTAAGTATCTCATCATGTGTTTTTTTCTGTCTGGCAGCTAGGGAACTGAAAGCTAAGTCCCATAACCAACTGAATTAATTTATCTCTCAGATCCTAGTATGACTATCATTCTATGACTCTTACACATTTAGTACTATTTCATTGTATTTTTTGTTATCATTTTCATACACCACAAATTATTTCCAAAAGTAGGGATAGATCAAAAAGAAATAAAATAATAGGTGAGAGATTGTTAATCATAACAAATGTACCACACAGGTGTGGATTTCAATGGGGGGAGACTGTGCATGTGTGGGAGCAGGATGTATGTGAGAACTGTACTATCTGTTCACTTTTGCTGTACACCTAAAACTGCTTTAAAAATAAAATCTACTGTTAAAAGCGAATACAAAATATGCTATAAGCAAAATGAGAGGATATTCCCAAAACTAAGAAAAAATTATCCAAAAATTGGAGATAAGGCCAGAAGATCACTGTTTGTCTTTCCAATGTCATACTAAAACATTGTCCAACAAGCCCACCTCAGGGTTGGATGGTTCTCCAGGAAAATGTAACATTCTTTGAATTTCCATTTTCTTTGATTAGACACTAGACTCTGTAAAGTTATATATCTTATAGAAGATTGATAAATTACAAATGATGCAAATGATTTCTGTCAGGTATAAAGATAATCCCAAAGATTATGCCTTTATTGCCCCATGGAACATTAATAAGTGCATCAAATTTAGCAATTTAAGTTCAGCATTCTTTCTTTACTATAGTCTCCTAAATTCTCCAATCAACTTGACTTTTTTGCTGGTCCCCTCATTAATGAGTTACATAAACCAATGACATGTCCCATGCTATATGTTTTTAACTTTTACAAAATTATACTTTAACCTAAAAAAGTTAAACATAAAATAACCATATGATTCAGCAATTCCACTCTCAGGTATATGCCCAAGAGAACTGAAAGCAGAGACTCCGCTTGTACACTCATATTCATAGCAGCAATATCGTGGAATAAGCAAAAGGTGGAAACAACCCAAGAATCCATGAACAGATTCATGAATAACCAAGATGTTTATATATATACACACACATGCAATGGAGTATTAGCCATTAAAAAAATGAAATTCTGATACATGTTACAACACGAAGAAACCTTGAAAACATTACCAAAAAAAATCAACACTAAGGAAGAGTTTGTCCAATATTCTACTTAGAGTGTACGCAAAATATAAAAATAAAAAACAACCCTGGGGGAGGGCAAATTTACAGGGCAAGCTAGAAGACTAAGAAGAAAATCCTTGGAATGTGATTTCATCAAAGCAAAGGGTTTACCAAAAGCTCTGAGATGGCCAAGAGCAGCAAGTGCCATAGGGGGTCAAATGCAATCAAACTGAGCGCTGGGTAAATGAGTGAAGGTTTTAGCAAAAACATTTTGGTAGAATGGCATATAAAAAGCAATATTGCCCTGGCTGGTGTTGCTAAGAGGTTAGAGCGTCGGCCCATGCCCCAAAGGGTCTCGGGTTCCATTCCTGGTCAAGGGCACGGCATGTACTTCAGTTGCAGGTTTGATCCCCAGCCCCAGTCAGGGCATGTGGTGTGTTTGACACGCAACCAGTTGATGTCTCTCCCTTACATGGATGTTTCTCCCTCCCTCCCTGCCCCAGCTCTCTCCCTCCCACTCTAAAAATCAATGGGAAAAAATATCCCTGGGTGAAGATTAACAAAAATAAATAAATAAATTTAATAAATAACAAAAAAGCAATATTACAGAAGATTAATAAATAAATAGAGGTCAAAGTTTCCAATCTATGGGATGGAGATAATAATACATAGGGTTTTTATAAGGAGTAAATGAGATATATGTAAAGTCCATGAACTGCAGTATTAAGAGCTAAACAAATGCTTCTTCTTATTAGGGTACATTCTTTATTTTGTCGTCATTCTTTTATAATGCTGGTAATAGGGATAAATATACTTTTGCCTCAGAAAATAATCTGCATATAGTGTAACTCATTCAGTTTGCTCTGTACTATGCGTGTCAACCTAAAGTTACTTCTAACAGTAATCTACTCCTAGGTCACAATTCTTAAAACAGTGCTAAAGTATTGTTTTTGAGCATCTCCTGAATTCTTCTTGCTTTCAACACACTGGTATAAGCTCAATATAAGCTTGGAGTCTTTACTGCAATCCTTTTAAAATTTTTATAGTTTAGAAAAACTCCAGGTTATATTTCAATGATCATCACCAAAAAATTGGTAATTGCTTACTTTGCTGTATCATTCTTGTTTTCACATTTTAAATTAAATTTATTGGGGTGACATTGGTTAATATG